ATGCCAAAACAAAGAGGAGACTCACCTCTTACATGAGGAAGAAGCCGCGTGTTTCGAGCATTATTTGGGGCAGCAGTAGCTCAGGTGGTAGAGCGGGTTGTCTCATGATCAGAGGGTCATGGGTTCGATTCCAGCTCCTGCCAGGGGTATCCTGCTGTTGTGTCCTTGGGCAAGACACTTCACCCAACTTGCCTGTGTTAGTGGTGGTCAGAGGGGCCGACGGCGCCAAATGGCAGCCTCGCCTCTGTCAGACCTCCCCAGGGCGGCTGTGGCTACAAGTAGCTTACCATCACTAGCAGTGTGTGAATGTGAGAGTGTGTGGGAAGCGTCTCTTGAGTGTCTAGAAAAGCGCTATATAAGTTCACTGCATTATTATTATTATTATTATTATTATCCGTTCTTTCATAATCCGTTGTCGAATTATGATTGGCAGACGCTTTTCCGGTTCGCGCCTCACTTTTTTTACAGGAACGGCCCAAAACGATCTCCAAACACATGGATGTGTTGCTTCCTTGATCATGTGATCTGTGACGTATGCGGATGAAGATCGGCTTCAGGGCTGAGATGTTTGTTCTCTCAGCGCGGGGGGCTCGTTCCGATGCTCAAACAGTAAAAAAATGCTAATGACGACTTTAGTTGTCATTGGCAGTGAATGAGTTAAAAAGTCTTAAAAAGTCTTAAATTTGCTTTTCAAAATGTAAGGCCTTAAAAATCCTTAAAAATGACAAATAATCCTCAAATACAGTTTCCAAAGCGTCTTAAATTACCAAAGGCCCACTAAACAAGATTCTTTTATTTCTATAAAAATTTTGTGAATTTCTAGTTTGTGTTCAGCATTTTTTGTGTATGATGTTGGCGAAAGCAGAACCGTACACACTCAGTTGGTTGTGAAAGGGGGCTATTTTTAGATGAGCACATTAGCTTGGTTAAGCTAGTGGGAGCTTGCGCCATGGGGAAGTGCAAGTTTTAATGGTAACTGGATGGCTAATCCCACGTTCGCCGACGTGGTTAGCACCGGTTAAGCTTAAATTTAATTAAAAAAAAAAGCTTAAATTTGGTCAAAGTGGCCTTGAAAAAGGTCTTAAAAGTCTTTAATTTGGCTCCCTTAAACCTGCAGATACCCTGCATCAGTTCAGTGTACAGTAGACTTTGATCTGGTCCAGTTCTGTGTGCGTAGTTTGCAGATTCAGCAAAAATGAGCAAAGAAACAGATCTAACACTCTAGTAACTGATTATTTAGATGTGTTGACTCAGTCGCTGATTTAATTTCATCCCTTTTTGCTCTCAGCGATCTAAAAGCTGGAAACATTCTTCTTGGAGATGATGGCTCTGTGCAGATCGCTGGTACGGTGCCTCATCGTTTATCGTGTTTCTATTGGATCAAAAGAGGATTTACTCCTGAGGTGTGTGTTTTATTTTGTCCGTTACGTATTTACACACCCCAGACTTCGGCGTGAGTGCCTTTCTTGCAACGGGAGGAGACATGACGAGGAATAAAGTTCGGAAGGGGACGGTTTGTTGGGACGCCATGCTGGATGGCCCCAGAGGTCATGGAGCAGGTGGGGGTTTTTCTGTTTTCCTTCAGCTGAGATCCAGACAACTAGAACGTGTTTGCTCATGTTCTCTTATTTTAATCTGCAGGTTCGTGGCTACGACTTCAAAGCAGACATCTGGAGTTTTGGAATAACAGCTATTGAACTGGCCACAGGGGCTGCGCCGTATCACAAATACCCACCAATGAAGGTATGAATGCTTAACAATATTTTACACTATTAAGTTGTTGTCATTTTCTATAGTTGTCTTATAGGATATGGCAAACCTCTTTAAAAAGCCTAGAAACGAATCCGATGCGCCAGAGTTCTTGTCCCCTCCTGGTTTCGACTAAGCAAACGGGTACAGAGCCGCTCACTCAAATACTTCATCTTTCATCTGGAACAAGTAATTCAACCAGCAACTGATGTAAGGAGGAGCTTCTTGTTTTTTTAAACAGAAGACATCCTGTGGTCGTGGAAAAGATGTTGTGT